CATTTGTGGAAGCTGGTAAGCGACCGCAACTGTTGAAGAACGGGTTGGTGCCGCGCCAACCGCAGCCTCCTGATGCGCTCCAGGATCCGCAATGAAAATGACTGTACAGTCGACATGGAGTGTGCCTTCAAAATTGGGGTATCCTCCCTCCTTACAAGCTACAGTATCCTAGAAGAAGTAGAGCACTAAAAATCATCACTTGGTGTTATTTAATTACTACCCAAGTAAAAGTAACGATGAAAGTAAACAGCTATGACACTTTGCATCTTATCCAAGTATATCAGATTATCAACAAATTGCACCTTAATACATACTTCTGAACGAGAAAATCTAAGAGTAAACAAACGAGTTTAGTGTGCTGGTAGCACTTCATATATGAGACGGGACAAACGACGAGCTTGAAGCCATTAAAACATGACAATCGACAGAACATCAAGGATCGTCCCTTCTCGGAACAAGTGAATCCACCAGGTATTCTAAAAGTTCAGGGACTCCTCTACCGCTTGCTGCGTCGCAATAGTGAACTTTTATTGGTTGACCGAAGCGTGAAACCGAGCCAAGTAGAGACGAAACCGACGGTTCGGCGGTGTTCTCAGTGCTAAATTATGAACAAATCAGTTATCAAAAAAGAAGTAAAAAAAGCCACTAAATTTTGATTAACACGAGATCATTCACGAGATTGATGAATAGCCACATTCTGAAGAACACCCGCCATAGGTCTAATTGCATGTATTGCCCTTCAACCCCTAATTGGTGTAACAGTTCATGGAAAATATCGGCACCGAAAACAGCTGAATGATTATGAAACCGGTTTCGGATGTCGCGCACACGCTCCTGCCTGATCAGATTCAAACGCATTCAGTCACATGTTCGAAAATAATACCAGCACCAAGCGGTGCTACCTTCAATCAATTTCTTACTTCCAGTAGACTAGTTCTCTACCCCCACCCTATAGGGACGAAGCCCGGGTGAGTGACAAGACAATCGTAATTCGCCGCAACGTTGGGCGCCGCGTGCGACGTCGCGCCCACTGATATACTGTTTCTCGTTCGAACGTGGCGACAATAGATAACGCGTAATCAAAAATAGTCCTAAATGTCTACGATGTCGTAGTATATATGAATTCTTATGCCCCAATTGACAAGCTAATGCAAAGTAAGAAAATACCGTGCCCGCTGCCGCGCGCCGAGAAAGCGACAAATTACGATTGTATTGACCGTCTCGCAACGAGTGCACGTCGTATGTCGTGTGATAACCAACCGCTGTCTGGAGAGGGGGAAGTACTCGGTCCGAGATTTTCTTTTCGATTTACCAGCGATGTAAACTGCTTTTTCTGCTGATTGTTCGGAAAGGTCTATCTCCCACTTCGCCTGACAGCAAAGTTTCGGGAGAAATCGGTAAGAGCGTGGGTAGGATGTGAGAGGGGTCTTACCGGAAAAGGATTTTTGTGGAGGGAATGCCGTATTTCGAAAATCCTCCACAGAACGAACGAATGAGGTTGATCTTATCAAGTGACCAAAAAGGGTTCAAGGGACCAAAAAGTCCGTAAATCCACTCGTGTGATGGACAGATGCTGTTCAAAACATACGGAAAGTCCTTATCCCCTCCCCTCCTCCTCCTCCTAGAGATCAAAGCATT